ACGTCGAAAAAAGAAAGCAGGGTTTCTAGGCAAGTAGCAACGTCCAAGATGTTGGAATTTACTCTTTTTCGCGTTAAACAAATACTTAACCTATCGGAACAAAACTGGTGGCTATGGAAAAGTAACCATTTATACCTTGCGTAAATTATTCGAGCACATTAATGGGCTCTTATGACCTGGGTGAAGAAATAAAACGACCCTTTGCCCCATAGACTCCCAGCAAAATTTAGCAATTAAATGGCGTCCATATCTCGTGATCCCTGATCTAGCCGTTGCACTCACCCTCCCTTGAGCCTCCCTAGTGTTCTCTCGTCCTAAGAAATTTTAAGAGGCTTAAACAGATCTCGTCTGTCTCGGTCGTACTCGGTTGCAAGAGTGTGAACGGGTCTTTACCATTTAGCGAGAATCAGACAACACTGACAGATGCGCCGTTCGCGTTGGCAGCTCTCGCAGCTTGTTCACATGGTGAACGAAAACGGGACGGCGCGTCATTGTAGATTTTTGCCGCGTCAATTTCGCCATGAACGTTCGCTCCATGGAGTCCAGCCTTTAGGCTTTCTTACGTAGGAGGTGTTGCCAGAAGAATCTTTACATTTTGTGAAAGGGAAAAGGAACATAACGAGCGAATGAGCACGGCGGGAACCGCGCCGCGGTCCGACGAAACCAGTGTAGTCCAAACCAGTCCAGACAAGTCAAAACCAGTGCAAAGCAAACCACGACCGCCCAAACGTAAGTCGGCTGCGTGCACCAGGGCGATACAGGCCAGCACATTTAATACAACTTTAAAGTGCCTCGTCTCTATGATCTACCGCCATATCGAGCAGGCAACCAAGTTTGCTTGGACAGGTAACGCCATCTTATGCGGAATTAGCGAAACTGAGAAACGTCTCGCGGCCGCACTCATGGGACCCGATTTCGAGCTTTAACGTCCGAGTACCGCCAAACCCTGACGCCGAGCTCCCTGTCCAATCGTTGGATAATAGTAATTGGGGTTGTGGGGATATTTGTACAGCGTGTAGTTGGTCTGCCATTAAAGTTGCGACGAGTCACAGGACGAGTCACACACAATGGCAATGACCTGGCCTGCAATGGTTATGATGAAGGAAAGTAAACACAATAAGAGGAAACGAATACTGGAGGTCGGTTATGGCGGCGCCCATGCACAGCTACTGCAAAGCGTCTATACGATGTTCACCCTTCAGCTGAGACTACAGCCAAAGCTACAAGCGCGAGCTGGCCCGCGCTCCTGCAGCTTTGAGACGTGCGTTGCTCGTTCTAGAGGGGGTATTCACTGGACGTCATATTTGAGGGCGATGTTTTGAGCGCATGCTTGGAACGAGCTCACATTAATAGGCTGCTAAGACCGGCAACCTTGGCGCTGCGGAATGCACGTGTCGAAAGAACTGTGGTAGCTCGCCGTGAGCACAGGCTCAGCAGTCGCGCACAGATATGGCCGCCAGTGAATACTCCCTATACGGAGGAACGCTTTAAAGCAGCGACCTCGAGCTGCCGCATTGGCTGCAGTTTGAACTCGGGCACAAAGGGGTATTCACACGAGGGACGCTTTTCGGGGAGGGATGTGCATGACTTCAGCGATCGCCGGAACCAGCAGGGCTTCCTCCCGCCCCGAAACAAGCATTCGCACGAACGGCGGGGAGCCGAGAGGGATGTCAGTGTTATCAGACGTGTTGAGCGGTCGCGCTCTCGACAACAGGGCTCGGTGCGCGCTGACGAGAGTAGACAAAATGGAGGCGTACATGAAGAGGCGATACGCGATTATGGCAGCAGCGCTCTCAGACGCAGAAGACAACGAACTGCTTCCTGCTAAAATAAATATGCTCCTTGAATGGGTGGGTACAACACAAAAGACGTGGAATCAGAAACCAGTTGTACAAGGAGCAGTTTGAGGACGGCATTCGTGAATATCGAAGACTCCTTCGGGTGCCTCGGACGACATGCGCAACAGCCCAAGCCGCTACAAGTTAGGCGTTCCCGATGCCACCGCCGGCATCTATCTCGCTGAGCGAAATCTGTAAAGTTGCCAGACACGCGAATAAAATGCCGCCAATTGCGAAGAGATCGCACGCTAAGGCGGGGAGCGTTTGTGCAGCCCGACCAAAAGCTCCCCCATCCCCCTGCGATGTCTACGTCAGCGCGGTTCCGCGCAAAAGTGTGACGTTGTTACCACGTGATCCGCATCACGTGGAGCAAAGGAAGGGATTTCTCCTCCGTGTGAATACCCCTTTAGAAGCGGGAGGTGTGGGTTTTATCGAGGGACATCATCCGACAGATGCAGCTGCCAATCAATGCCTCGGTGCTAGGGACATGCGACTGATATCACCGAGCGCACCTGAAACCTCTCCGCCAGGTTCTCTTTCCCGGAGAAGTGGACCTTCCAGAGCTCCACTTCGCGCCAGCAGTTGTCCGTGTTCATGGGGTCATCCATGTAGCCCTTCCGGGCGACCGAGCACTCCACCAGCACGTTGGTGCTGTCCGTCTGGTCCGGGGGGTGCTGAAGGCAGCTGCTGAAGAACTGCCGGGGGAACAGAAGCGACCACGAGGAACTTTCCGCCTCTCACGTGCTCGGAGATCAATAAAAACAGAATTTTGAGGGTTAAAATTTTGTATCGGGCACTTCTTCTTTGATCAGACTTTCTAGATCTTTCCGGAAAATACCACAAGACCTCTCAACACTCTCACATTGCACCACGCTGCGTGGGGAATGGTGGGGCTGTTCCAGCGTACTTGCCATTTCCAAATCACCCCCTTCCCCCCCTAAAAAATAACTAATTTCTTTTAAAGCCAACACGTACCCTATTTTGTTTTTTACCACTATATATTTGCGTTCTGAAATAGCGAAATGTTCAACAAACATAAACCGCGCCTTCTAGTAATGGGCATTCCACGCGCTGCACTCCGGATTGCTGTAGTGCGCCGGAAATAATAAGAGACGCTGCGTGTTTCCAAAAGGGTATATTACTAAAACTCATGTGGCTTGCAAAAAAAAAAAAAATTTAAAATTTCGAAGATGCGGGTTTTTTATTAATATTATTATTATTTTAGAGAATATGGCGTGTTAGTATCGATAACGGCGTAAATGACGAGCAGTTCGAAGGAGAAATGATGAATGTGCATAGCTGGCCTGATTGACCCCTGAAGTCTGAAAGGACGTCAGCATATTTGACGTTATCGGTTACTTGGTGGAAGTGGTATCATCAATGGCACGATAATCGACCGATATACACGCAGTGGTGAAGAGCGGAACTAGGCCCTGTTCTACTTCAGCCGGCTGAGTAGAAGCAGTTTCCGGAGCAAATGGCTCGCGTACCTTGCCTGCCTTTTCTGTGTTCTATTTCAGTAGAACCGATACCTGGCCTTTACCGACCGCGTACACGCAAATCGTCACATGGCCCAGAGTGGCATCCCCGGATGTCACATAAAGTGGAAAATTGACAAATATTCTGTGTTCACACTGGTTGCTGACTTCAGGGTCGTGAGTGTTCTCGCCAGAACGTCCGATATACGTAATTTATTCTGCCTAGAATATGTAGTTTAACACTTTTTTTTTTCTTTTTGCGACGTGTTCTGCACCACACAGTGCATAGAGTCAAGGGGTTCGAAGGCACGTTTAAAGGAGCGCAACAATTTTTGCACGTTCAGTAAACGCCACCTACAATTATTCCTTGACATACATGACCTAATAGACTGCGTTACTTTTTTGTCTCCACGTAATAATAGTCGCAGAAAAAAATTCGAGAAAAACGAGCAGTTTGCTTTCCTCTCAAATCGCAGCCAGAACAAACGGCAACGTGATCGGGAGCCGCTATATGCCCCCAATCCAATGTTAATCACAGTCATGCTGTGGGGTTGGCAAGGCACGTGGCACGTCCCGAGTTAGGCGCATTGAGTTTTGGCTATTCTCTTCATCGCAGCAACTGCGTACGAGTCACTTCCCAATTGTAATGCTCATTACTGTCCATGCATAGGTGAGCTGGTGGAAGTTTACCATGATGCTTTTAACCCAAAACTAAGGCAGTGGGAGGAAACAATTTTTTTTTTTTTACAGTGGAAGAGAAAGTAACACGGGCAGACAACTCAGCTGATTATTTGCTTCAACAACCGTCCTTATATACAAAACTACAAACGCCTCAAAACCACCGAACATCCTTTTTTTTTTTCAAGGTCGCAACGCACAACCCTTACCCACAACACAAAACACCACCATATATGTACATATATTTGCGACCTCAAGCAGTCTAGAGGGTTTTTGCCTAAACCGAAAGGTGGCTGTAAATGAGGGTCCTGCGTCGTGAGCTTGGAAAAAAAGAACTTTCAGTGGTTTTGTGGCTGTTGTAGTTCTGTATGTAAGGACGGTGGCTGAATAAAATTATCAGCTGGGTTAGAGACGTTGTCTGCCCATGTTAGTTTCTCTTCCACTGTAAAAATGTTTCCTCCTCCTGCCCCAGGTTAAAGAGCATCAGGAATGCTCATGCAGTGCTCGTGTCCACTGCATGGGCCGTATTTCAATATTATCACCGCGGGGATTGCATAGCTTGATGTCGAAATCCGGGGATCGCATTGTTGACAACGCAGAAAATCCGGGGGATAGCAGTGTTGACAGCGCAGAACCCACAGCTTCATCGTCGAGTTTTGCACAAAAAAAAATTGACACAAAATACAAAGAAACGTCAGCTTTTTTATATTAATTTACGCGGCGACAAAGAAGCGTTTTGGTCAGTGGCATTGCGTACGAGTATACCTGGGTCCGACCAGTGCCTTGTGTAAGCTTGTGTAAATAGAGAAAAAAATATTTACCCAATATCGTTGCAGGGACATTGTGAGAAGTATAAAACGCACGTTGGAAAGCCACATAAAACGAACTGCGTGACTATCCGTGCATTTTGAAACATTTAGACAAACCAAGAAAAACCTTCGTGGTTACGATATAAACAAGCTAATTACCCGTCGGTCGCTTCGATGTAAGCATTTCTTATGTTTCCCTACAGCCTGACTGTGAACTCTTGCAAGCTTACGGTTGTAACGTCGTCCGCAGTTGAGATGGACACGTTGTCGGGAATCTTGAAGCACACCCTCATGACGCCATCGTACTTCTGCTCACCAGGAACGAAGTCCTATAACGGAGAAAATAAGTTTACCCTTGTGGCATGATGTTTTGTTTTAAGTTCTTTAGGCTGTTACAACAAAGGATCTGCAGGAGAAGATATACTCCCTCAGACGTTCCGGGAAAACTGCGGTTCTCAATCAAAACACACCATATTCCTGGCGTCAAAGAAGGGGACACAGCTTAAACTATCTATTTTATTGAGTTGTCAAAACGATGATTCTTAGCACCTGCCACTGAGCAATATAATTCACAAAAGGAGGAACATCAGCTTTTTCTGTGTGGGCAATGCATCGCTTTTTGTCCGATGAGCCTTTCCTGTTGGGCCAACTGCGACTCGAACACAGCGTGAGCAAGTGCCTAAACATCGATTCGATCTGACTGTTGTCTCGTTAACTGCACTGAGATCGGTAAAGCCTGTGCAACAGAATCATAATCCAAGAATCCAAGGCTTCGGGGAAAGTTCAGTTTGCCTTACCCCGGGTAGCACGAACTGGTCCGTTCGGAAGATGCGCATGAGAGCAATCTCGAGGCCCCTGCCCTGGGAAAGGGATGTCTTTGACTTCTGGTACCTGGAGGACAACATGCATCGCACCTGTAGCTCGTGGCCGTTTGTTAGGATTAAGTATGGTCCCGGAAAGCACGTAGTACGAAGCGCGACACAGTTAGATCGAACAGAACGTTGGCACTTTCTGGCATTCACTAAGACAAGCTAGAGGTCAGCACGAAAAGTTACCGCTTCGGTTAGAGCCCTAAATGAACACTGCATTGCGTCAGAAGCTTTTTATTAATGCGAAAGCAATAACTGTCTCATGGAGCGAGCTGACGTCATCAGTTTGAAGCGCGAAAACGGCACCTAGTTTCCCCGATCCTTCAATTCCATTGGCTGGCGCGCGTCGACGGGGCTCCCATTGGCCGCTGCGCTTGGCAGTTGCACGACCGCTCACCCCATGTCGCTGCGTGTCCATCAGCGTGCCGTTGCTCCCCTGAGCACGGAGCGTCCAAGGTCACCGTGCCCAGGGGACACACGCGCTGACCGGCGACGAAAAGTACGCAGCAGACGGAAGAAGGAGCGGACGAGCGGCTTGCGAGCTTTCGCATTCACAACTCATAAGAAATGCTTAAGTGTACCTCGATCCTTTTTTAAATTTTTTTCCTAAGAAATAGATGTAATTTTATAAGGTAAACAGGAAAAGACATGAGATCCCTTGTTCGTATACTTGCAGGGTCGCGCTGTGTACAAAGCGGGATACAATAGAACAAACCACGCCATCGCCACTTTTTCTGCTGTTTTTCTTTTAGAATTAAAAGGGCATTGTAGTAATCACTCTAGTCAGGGTCAGGTTAAGAGTAAAGTGGAAGCTTCACCTACCTCTTTCCGGCTTAGCAGAGCGAACGCTAGAAAGGAGGTTGCCTCTTCTCCGGTGTTCGCTATGCCAAAGTGGAAAGAGGTGGAAGGAGCTTGCACTTCTGGGTGTCCACTTTAGCCGCCGCCCGATCAGGCCCCACCTCGACCACCCCGAAGGAGATCACACAACGCAAGGTACGAAGGATCTACTGTCTCACAGTTGGACGATTTGGAGACAACGCCTTGTCTTTTACCGTTCCGTCGCCAACCATCCGCGAGCTCGCTGCCCGAGCTCTGCCCCACGCCGTTTTCCTCTTCTCACTTGGCCCCCTGCGGGACCATGTCCGGCCCCCTCGTGGCCATGATCCTTACACACTTTACTCTTAACCTATCACCGACTATATACTTCGCACCGCCCAAGAATAAACATATTAAGACTTCGATATCTCACACGCGGCGAGTTGACAAAAACCAGTATTACATCGATTGATTCCGGCTGGATGCACTTCTACCTTCCTCTCTCCTTGGGGGCAAATTATTTCATTTCTTCTATAATAGTCAGTGGTTTTATTTTTCTTATCGAATCTTCTTTTCGTTTGTGTAGAAAAAGAGGGGGCAAGGGGAATCAGAAACTGCTCAAATACGAGCACAGCTGGTTCCCACCTGCTGATGACAAAGAGGACGTAGTGGTTGGGACCCCAGCGTGGCAGTGCGCCCTTTCCTTTGAGGCCCGTGCGACCGGCTGGATTCCTGTCAAAGTAGACACAAAACTTAAAATCCCTAACTCAATTATTTACGCTTTGTTTTTAATGCGAAAGCATTAACTGTCTTATGGAGCAAGCTGACGTCATCAGTTTGAAGCGCGAAAACGGCACCTAGTTTCCCCGATCCCAAAGGAGCGAAGTAAAGCTGATGGAGTTTGCCTTCGGTTCCATTGGCTGGCGCGCGTCGACGGGGCTCCCATTGGCCCCTGCGCTCGTCAGTTTCCATTACCGCTCACCCCATGGCGCTGCGTGTCCATCAGCGCGCTCCAGGTCAGCGTGCCCAGGGGAGGACGCGCGCTGACCGGCGACGAAAAGTACGCAGCAGATGACAAAGGGAGCGGACGAGCGGCTTGCATGCTTTTGCACTCACAACTGATAACAAGTGTTTAGGTGTACATAGAGCTTTTTCTATCTGACGCTCCTGATATTCTGGTTCAAAAGAAGTCGTTGGATGAAAATGTACTCATTTGCCGCCTTCACCTTTATAATTATGTAGCTGTCGAAGCTGAACACCTCAGCTGTTCTAGAGAAATTTTCTAGCGATTGCGCTGTCTAGCCTTTGCACTTGGCGTCGTTCCTGGGTAATTATATCATAAAATGACGGAAAGGCGCCTGTTTTCAAGCGACTTGTCGGTGACGAAAAGGGCTGCTGCAAGCTAACGCCTCCTTCTCTTTGCAAGAAATAACAAAATCAAGCAGGAACTTTCGACATCTTCCATCATCCGAGACTCGTAATGAAAAGATTCCAATCAATCGTTGATAACTTTTTTATCGAGATTTTTTACTTTATAGTTGCTAAAGGCTTATATCAGTCCAAATTCTACTTAGCAAGAAGTTACAGCACCTGCATTTACTTTTCGCCTTAGAGGACAGACAGTTTAGTTGCTTTCGTTTTTCTTTCTTTTTTTCTTATTTGCACGGCAAATGACAGCAGCATTGTTTCCGGTTATAATTTTGTTCTGGTATAACATTGACCAACATAATAAAACCGGAGACACGGAACGCGAAGGACACAGATAACACCGTCTCAGTGTGTCGTTCTGCTCACTCTTATGTGTGTCCTTGTTCCGTGTGTCTGGTTTTATTGTGTTGCTTAATATACAGCAGCTCACCCACGCCCTAACTCTTCTTTCAGATAACATTGAACGCTATCTTGCTCATCTATGTCGGCGCATCTGCACCCGAAATCGCCAAAATGACGCGATTTTCAACCGTGTTCGCACGTCAGTTGGATGTTTGGTATTGCCCAGTCTACGCAGCAGACGATGCGAAGGGTTGAGTGGACAGAGGGAATCTTGTTCTCTATACTCTCCCTAGTGGAATGGTGTATTGTGGCCGCGAAGAAAAGTAAAGCCAAGTGAGGTTGATTCAACACATATTTGCGCATATTGTGCAGCTCGCAACATTGGTGTCACACATTGAAATATGCCTCGGTGAACATTTGTAGCCGTTCTGTATTCAACTTCATATTCTTTTCTCGTCCTTAGGGCAGATTAAATGATGTAATTTTTGAAAAAGCTCTCAGTTTGCTCAAGATTATGGTGGTCTACAAACTAGGTGTGCATTACTGTGTAGTTCTAAAGTTCGGTTTCTGTTTTCTTCTTAATATTTTGATTTTTGTCTAAAAAAGTCACAAATGCAGCTCTTGTTGTTGTTTCTTTTTTAATACGGGAAGTTCTTTCTTAGGCAATAAGTACTGCATGATTAAAAACCTAGCTATTTTTTTTTTCTTATTTTTGGCGTTTGAGTGTGGCTAAAAACGGGCATTCGGGCTGCCTGCGAACTGCGCCTGCATAATTGAAAACCTAACTGGTTTTTGGGTTTTCATTTTTCTTTTCCATTTCTGGCGTTTGGGTGTGGCTGAAAACGAGCATTTGGGCTGCCTGCAAACTGGGTCTGCTCAATGTTTATCTGGCAGAACAAAGCTACGAGAAAACACGGTTTGCAGAACAACTCGTTAAAAGTGACAGAAACATTTCTTTTGGCATTAGGAGAACACGGGTGTCTTGACGCACAAACACGGAAGGACCCCTCTTGAGGAAACGGCTCTTTCTCAAGGTAGGGTGTGATGCTGCGGCGGTGCGAAGCTCTTTAGAATGCGTCTAGTCACACACCGGGCGGCGCACATCGTACCTACCGGGGAACCCCCTCCATCTCGAGCATGTAGATGATGTTGGCGCCGTCGCCGTCGTCGATCCAGGACTTCCGGTCGATGCTGACGCCCGCCGGCGAGACGGACGTGCAGTTCCACGAGAGCGTCGGCACGCTCTGCACGTTCTCCTTCGCGCTCAGCCTGCACAAAGCGAGGCACGAAGAGCAGAAGTGGGCCACCGAGGTTCGCGAGTACTAGAGTCGACGACAGTTTCAGAAACGAGAGGCATAATAAGCCCCCGTGTATCTTAGGCTGCTTACAGGAGGATGTCCTCGTCGACGAAGACCTGGAGCGGTCCCGGGAACTGGGCCCGCGGCCTCGTGTAGGCGACCGGCTCGTAGTCGAGCCACATCACCTCCCAGGGCACGTACTTGTCGGGCACCGGGAACCGCTGGATCTTGGTGCCCGGGTAGGGCGACTGGCGCGAGATGTAGTGCAGCGTCGTCTGCTGCTGCTGCATCGAGCTCAGCGACGTCGGGTCTGCACGCACCCAGACGCTCGACATGTATTCTCGGCAGCTGCCTTTGTATACGTGGCTGAGAGCTTGATTAAGGGCGAAGCTAAACGCGTAACCTTACATCTATATCTATGCATCCACTGAACTAAACATCGCACACAAGTAGAACTCTATCTTGAAACGAGTCACTGACCCTTGGATAACACGCGAAATAATTCACTTGAAACGATGAATCAGAAGGCATAGAAAAAATAACAAACAAAGCGTGAACGTCTTAAAGAGCAGTTTAAAAACGGCACTTAGAGAAGCAAAGGAAAGCTTTTTTTCAGTAACTCTGCACAATTTTATATAACTGCCCCCGAAAAGTTTTGGCGTTTTTTAAAGGGACGAAAGGAGCCGATTGAACAAATCGTTTACGGTGATATAGTTATTACAGACAATGTAGAAATGGCAGGGCACTTTAATCGTTTTTTCCAGTCAGTTTTTTCAGCGCATGAGTCACATGTCATGCGTGAAGCCTCAAGCGACAATACCGAAATAAGCACACCGGGCGTGGTGATAACCCAATCAGGAATATTCGCGAAGTTGTTATCTCTTGATACGAAGAAATCAACGGGACCGGATAAAATACCGAATGAATTTCTAAAAAGATATGCTGAGTGGCTATCCCATTATCTTAAAATTATTTTTGACACATCATTACAAACGCACACTCTTCCACAAGAATGGTTATCTGCCTGTGTTGTACCAGCATTTAAAGACGGAAGCCGTCTCAGGGTAGATAATTACAGGCCCATTTCTTTGACAAGTATTTGTTGCAAAATAATGAAGCATATTATTTCAAAACACATATTCACCTTCCCAGAGGACCGAGGCATGTTCTATCCCCACCAGCACGGTTTTAGATGTGGCCTGTCATCGGTAACCCAACTTGTAGAAACGTTTCATGATTTTTCTTTTGCCGTTAATAATAAGCAACAGGTAGATGTTATTTGCGTCGATTTTTCAAAGGCGTTTGACCGTATACCACATGAAAAACTGATATGGAAATTAAAAGCACTAGGTCTAGGTTCTATTATTATTAATTGGATTGAAGCCTATCTATCAAATCGAAGTCAAAGAGTTGAAATTAATGGAAGTCTATCTGCGCCATTGCCTGTGTCCTCAGGAGTCCCTCAGGGCTCAGTCCTGGGTCCATTGTTGTTTTTGATCTATATAAATGATATCGCTACTTATATTCAAGCTCCAACTCAACTGAAGCTCTTTGCAGATGACCGCTTATTTTATGCTCCCGTAAACAATTCCGTCGATCAAATGAACTTAAACAGGAATTTGGAAATATTAAGGCAGTGGTGTAATGATTGGAAAATGCAGATAAATTTTCGTAAGTCGGCATACATGCACATAACAAACAAGAAGAACGTTTTAACATTTTCCTACAATATGGGGGATGTTAATTTGAATAATGTGGACAGTTTCAAGTACCTTGGTGTCACGATCTCAAATGACCTACAGTGGCGGGCCCATATTGAAAATGTTTCCTCTTCGGCCTATCGGAGTCTTGGTTTTGTACGACGGAAATTAAAACATGCTACTAGAGACGCAAAGTTGACTGCCTATAAAACGATGGTACGTCCTATTTTGGAGTATGCCAGTGTGGTATGGAGTCCCAACAAAAAAGTTGACAAAGAAAAATTAGAAAAGATTCAAAGGTTGGCTGTACGTTTTATTCTATCTAGGTATAAAAGAACAGACTCTGTAACTAGAATGTTCCGTGAGTGCGGCTTGCAGCCACTAGAAACTAGACGGAAGATTGCAAGGTTAAAGTTGTTTTTTTCCCTCTATAACGGACAATTAAAAATTGACCCAGCATTGTATCTGAAAGAAGTGCATAAGCGATCAAGACGACTAAATCATACGAAAACGGTCCATCCTTATTGTAGTAGAATAGACGTCTTTAGATACTCTTTTTTCGCGCGAACAATTGAAGAATGGAATAGTCTCCGGGAGTGTGTTATAAATTTAACAGACGCGTCTTATTTTGAGTCTTCCTTGGAAGAGCTGTTTTCAAATTAAAAGAAATTGTGGTTGATTGTTGTTATTTGAAAATGTAATAGTATTTTGTGTGTCCTTATTGCTGTTAAACGTTAAGATTGTATGTTTTTCCCTTTTATTTCTCTCTCTGCTGTAATAGCCTTCGAGAGAAGGCTGACAGTATTGATAAATAAAATAAATAAATAAATAAAATATACTTGAGTTCACGTTCAATACGACATTCAATGATATTTGTAAAACGTCCAGCAAGATGCAATTTCGGAGAACGCGCGAATATATGGAGAAAACAGCTCCTGCTTCCAGTGTAACAAGGCATTCTTCCTCGCAGTGAAGTTCCGAAAATAATTTTCGAACAGTTTGCTCGGGCAGTGTCACAAACCGCTTTTGCATCTCATTATCTTCGCGTCTTGTTCAGCAGTATATGGCGCGGCCTTCCTGACACCTTAAAAATATGTCTTTTTTTTATCTACAATTTTTTTGGCGCAAGTTTTTACATCGTGAAAATTGCTAAGCGCGTACGTTTCCCGTTTTTGTTTTGCGTGTGTGCGAGCGGTGTATACCATTTTTCGAAGACGAGACCTGCTTCAGGGCCTCGAGGTAGATGAGCGACAGGGAGAGCTTCCTCTGCACCTCCTGCACCTGTCCGCGCAGCTGGTCCAACACGGTTCTCTGGTAGTCCACGTCCTCCAGAATCAGCAGCATCCTGGCAGAAAGACGACCACTTAGGCCTTGGGCCCGGCTCCAAGTGTCTGTCACGCGTATACCCCGGCAAAACTCACTCTTGAGTGAACTGTCTCACCTCACTCACCCTCGCCGATCCGACGTTAGGTGAGGGTGAGTTAGTTCGCAAGCCTCAAAAACTCATAAGTTTGAGGTTGAGTAAGGAGCATGAGTTCGGTGGGGGTGCGTGAGTTCGTGAGTTCCGCGAGTTCATGAGGTCGGTGAGGGGTGTGAGTTTATGAGCCCGGTGAGTTTATGAGGTCGGTGAGTTCATGAGTTCGGCGAGGTATGGTCAAGCTAGTTCGCAGTAGAGAGAGAATACCTGCTGCGTGGCAGCGATAACAAGTGCAACAGTTTAATAGAATAACAGCCCCAGCGCCCACGAGTAAGGTTGTTGTTGAGCACAGTCGAGTGGTATGTATTTCTTGTGCTTACTATTTGAAGAGTCCAGCTAACGATATCAATCAAATTAACAGACAATAGAGATTTTTAGGGAACCGTTCTGGCACATCTAATGTGGTACGATTGGCCCTCTTGTACGAACTGCATATAGGTGAATCTCCTGTTTTAGCGCATGCGCAGTTCGTACCGGAGGGCCCATCCTACCCTATTGGGTATGCAAAAACGGGTTTAGGGAACTGTTTTTGTGCATTCAATGCGGTACGCTGAGCAAAGCAAAATTGGTGTGTGTATGTTTATACAGCCTGAAGTTAGTCTGCCTCAATGGGCGTCTGGTGTCTCAGCTGCAGATGAGAAATTTAGCCAGTGCGGTACAACCGCTAACCTGGGGTCTTTAACGTGCTCTTCGCAGTGGTGATACACGACCGCACGCCGGTACGATGCTCTTCCAGATCGAAATGGCACCTAAGAGCTGCGCTCTAGTAGTAGTAGTAGTAGTAGTAAACAATATTTATTTGCCCAAGCATGTGTTAATGACTGAACGGGAGACCCCTAGGGTCGCCCCGCCAGCCACCCCTCAGACGGCGGCCTGAACCCTCTGGGTTTTGGCGGCGTCTTCGGCCAGCTGGACTAGCTGGTTCTGCACCGAGGGGTCGGAGCAGAGGAGTAGGGTTTCCCAGCTCTCCTGGTTGTCGATCTTCTCCAGTAGGGGGTGAGACTTGCGGTCGATCCTGCTGCACTCCCACACCATGTGTCGGAGGTTGGCGTAGCCGCCGCAGAGCTTGCAGTTTGGCTTGTACTTGTCGGGGTACCATTTATTGAGTAGGGAGCTATTATAGTTTGTTTTGGTTTTGCGTTTGTTTGTTTTGTTTTGTTTTGGTTTGGTTTGAACCGTTGAATGAACCGTTGAAGCTTGTGCAAGGTTGACCTTGTGAACAAAAGATTGGAAACTCTTAAAGTTACGCCACGAGACAAACAGTGAACACGACAAGGCCGTGTCCATAATGGCCAGGCGTCGACGGTCCTCAGCATCTGCTGGACATCGACTTCGGGCTGAAGACCTCCGAAAATACAATAAATACTATAAAAAATACAATTTTTTGTATTTTTACAAAATACAAATCCGAAAATATCCGAATCCGAAAATACAATAAAAAATACAAAAAATAAATACAAAAAAATACAAAATACAATAAAAAATACAATTTTTTAGAGCTGCGCTCTAAAAAAAATAGTCGATTAAAATACTATTATGGCACAGAGATACACATTTACATTGAACCTTTTACACGTCAATCATCTCTCCAGCCAATGAGAGGTGTAGGCACCTTGTAAGCACGGGGCGAAGCTTAGCAGGCTGCGACCTCAACCCTTTTTCACCTAAATTGCTTCTAACAGCGTAAATAGTGCGCGAAAGAAAACATTCCGTAGAAAAAATGATTTAATTTAAGAAATCTGTTTTTTCCCCTTGCAGTGTTCATTTAGGTTAAGACTGCTGCTAAAACTACAAGCGCGCGCTAGCCCGCGCTTCTGGTTTTGAGACGTTCATTTAAAACACAAGCGCTCATTCAAAAAAAAAAAAAAAAACTATTCAAAGCATTGACCTTGTGCCCTTCTTTGCCATTCTACTCGAGGGTTTGTGAAAAATCCGTTGAAGTCGGTGAGTTTTACAGCACACTATATAGGGAGTATTCACTGGCGGCCATAGCTGTTGTGCGCGACTGCCGAACGCGTGCTGACGGCGAGCTTCCATAGCTCTTTTGCAGCGTGCATTCTGCACCATCAAGATTGCCTGTCTCAGCAGCTTAGTATGCGAGCCCATTCTGAGCATGCGCTCTAAACAGCACCCACAAATATGGCGTCCAGTGAATGCTCCCTATAGGCGTGCACGGATGTCCGTTCAGAACGGTGTCCCGTCCCGACCGTCAAACATTTGTCCATAAGCAGATGCTGGGTTTAAAGGGTTGTGTAGATTGGTTCTCAGTAGGTATAAAAGTGGACACAAAACTAAAAGAGTGAGAGATAGAACGTGCAAAAAGAAGGGGAAAGGAAACAAGGGACGTTTCAGGCGCAAGCATTCGTCAGCGTCTCCGACAATAAAATTATAATAATTTATAGATTAAAGGGTGGCGATTAATCGGAATAAAACTTTACAAAGCGACGTCCAACCCTAGATTTTACTAATCGACGTTTAGTGGGTCAAAAGAAAGCGGGTTGCAAAAGTCATTAGCGTGCTTCTCGGTACGAAAATGTGAAAATATAGCGGACTATTTGGTGCCTCTCTTCCTTCGAAAGCCCTCCGCCTTGTCAATGTGATATACATCCGCGCGGTACCCAAAGCTAGAGTCACTAAATAAGCTACGCTTTCAGAGTACCGCATTCCTTTTGCTTGGAATTTTGCCGACAATACAGTCGCTCCATTCAACAATATTCTTGTTCACTACGGCATCATTGGACAGCGGCAGTCACGTGAATCACTATCATCATCATCGCGTTTTTTTAAACGCCACCATCTTGGGTCCTGCGATCCGCTGCCCGCTGCTGGTTTACTGTTTACTGCGCGTGCACGCTGAAGTCCGTTGCTCAGCATGCATTTTTTTCTTTATTACGTCGAGATACGAACAACACGACCTTGATTCGCTGCCACAGCTGTGGCTACAGCAGCTGGCGCAGGCGACGGCTACATCACGGCTTGGCTCAGCTCGCCACTCCTCCATCAGCGCGTGGACCCAAGATGGCGGCGCCTGACTCGCTTCAGACGCGTAGTTTAGGAGTTTCGGTACTCTGAAAGCGTAGCTTTATTTAGTGACTCTACCCAAAGCATGTCAGCCGACCCCAGCTCAAGCATGGGACACGAGCACTGCGTCACTCGGACGTGTGCGCTCGTCAACATTCCATCCGTCGACGAATATTTGGATTCGCGTTCGTGGCCAATGAGTGCTGTGACGGCGCTTATCATCGCTTGCGAATGACTAGTTCCATGGTGTGCTTAGAAAGAACGTTGGAAGCATGGAGTAATTGCTTTTGGTTAAATACTAAGCGACGCCCACGTTATTTCTCATTTAGCTTTTGAGTTGAGGAGGAAAGCTCAGGAGGAACAGGTTGAAAAATATTTTCATGGTCTCTTTAGGCGGGATTAGGTTGTTGTTTTCTGGCTAACTGTACCTTGTGACACAAAACCACACACGCACAATCGTGGTTGTTTTTTTTTTTTTTTGTAGGCAAAAGAAACGTTTGCGGAGCTTACATATAATTGTTTCGCTGAAAGTTTTGATTCCAGTCGGGACATCACGCCAAATGCTTGGGCCCGTGTGACATCGCCGGGCAAACAAACGTTTCTGTCAATCGCTACGGAATCACTGGAACTTAGGTGTGCTCCAGATGAGTAACGTACACAACGCGAAGACCTTTGGTGCACGTAATTGCAAAAAAAAAAAAAAAAATACCGGAGTCATCTACGGCGCAATGAAAGACGAAGTAAAGAGAGGTTAGTTTTCATGGATAAAGCACTGGCTGAACGATGATAGTTTTGCTGAGTATAAAACGACCGCCGCCATTTTCAGGTGACTCCAGGTTAGCTGTGAGTGCGGCCTAACCAGGATTCCAGATTGCAGCAGCAGATTCTAGTTTCAAGCGAACTAGAGATTTGAAAAGAAGGGAGACAGGAAAATTTCGTTTTAGCTAGCCTGGCATAGAATCGGCCTTAGCAAGAATGTTATTAATGTGCGTTTGCAAAGATATGCCGGAAGTAAGGTATACACTGAGATATTTATAGGAAGTCGTAGAAAGCAAAAGAATGTCACTAAGGTAGTAAGTGGAACTTGAGATGTGTTACAACGTGAAACTCTCATTGTTTGGCATTTGTAAGTGTTAAGGGTCGTGTGCCATTCCCGACACCAAGCAGATGTAGCATTCAAGTCATTCTGAAGAATCAGGGAATCAGAAATATTATTAATTAAAAAAAAAAACGTAATCATCCGAAAAAAAAAAATTAAGGCTCGATAAAATACACAGGGGAAAGTTGTTAATATAAACGAGAATAGTAGAGGTCTCAAGACGGAACGTTGAGTGGCAGCAGACGTAACAGGACTCGTGCGGAAATTAGAATAATTTACATTTACAAACTGAAAGCGGTTTGTTAGAAATAGAAAACATTTAATCCGCATTAGTACATGAGGGGGGAGGAAGGGAGGGGGGGGGGGGGAGCAGCAAGTTGTGGGAAGCTTTATCGAAGGCTTTGCAAAAGTCGAGGAAGAAAATAGGAACAGTCATCCTCAGATCCGAGGTCAAGAACTGAAAACAAATAGTTAGTGAAGACCGGAAATTGCGTTTATCGGAAGAAAGATTTATGAAAGTCATCTTGTGAAGATGAAAAGGAGGAGTTGAAGTAAAAAATGTTACCAACTGGGGATAAATACTGTGCTCTAGAACTCTGCAGGCAATGCTAATCAAGGAAATAAGTCTATAATTGTTGGGACAGTGCTTATCACCGGATTTGCGTAGTGGGACCACCTTGTCAGTTTTCCAGTCTTTTGGAAGTACGCCAGTAGGAAGGGACTGCTCACAAATCTTAAAACAAAAAGC